GCGAAGGAAACGAAGAAGCGACGCATGCAATCTCTACACCTCCTGCAAAGCAACGATGCCTAACAGCAACGACTAAAAGAGAAGATGACAGGCAAACCTTGACGCCTCTAAGTTATTATTGATTAAGTTAATTAATATATTTTAAAATATTAATAAATAAGTAAAATAATTAAATAATTAATTGTATAATTAGTGCATAAATTTATTATCTAATTTAACTTAATTGTACAATTAGTAATTAAATATTAATAGAATTAGCTTAATTAATATAACTTAATATGTATGTATTATTAAATATTTAATTAATAGTGTAAATAATAATTAATGAATAATTTGTACTTAATATGTTATTAAATTTATAATACCTTAATTTTTATTTTTAATTATAAATTTATTTTTAATTTATAATTAGATTCTTCACATTTAAATCCCTAACTGTCATAAATCCTAAAATATGTTACCAAAAAATTTCTAATGATTTAATAAGATTTAAAATTTGACATACCAAATAATTTTTAGGATTTAACACATTTCAAATTTACTAAATCCGAATTTACAGAATTTACTAAATTCCACTAGAGTTAAATCCCACTAGTTGCCAAACAGCCCTAGAGTAGTTTTGAACGAGTCGCTAAATAACTTCTTCGTCTCCGAGGTTCCTTCCTGCGGATCCGAAGTCACACCTCCTCGCCGTTCTTCCCTTGGATCGGAAGGAACAAAGAGGACGGGAGCTTGCTCGTTGCGAAGGTAGCGATCTTTCTTCCTTTCGCGCGCTTCTTCAGCCAAATCCCGTAAATCCGCCGAACTCCTGGATTTAGTAAATCGGGGATTTACAGAAAAAAGAGGAAAACCGAGGATTTAACTTGCTGTGAGATTTAACAGTTCCCTAAATCCTTTGTGACAGGAATTAGCTTAAATACTGCTCAAATCCAGCATAAATCATGTATCAAAACAGCCCCTCATAGAACGGCAATGAGGGTACCTAAAGTATGAGAATGTGGTGTCAATCTTGCCGGGAGGAATACAAGGAGAAGGACGCTGGGACGTGCAAGGAGTGCTACGAGGAGGCGAGCGAGACGGAGGAAGAGCTCAAGCGGGAGATTGAAGACCTCAAAGCCAAGGTTTCCTTCCTCCGCATCTGTCCCCCCGTCGACCCCCACCTCCCAAACACCAATGCCGATCTGCTGCTCTATGGCGTTTCCGAATCCCATGAGGAAGCCAAATCCACCCTCACCCCTGCCGTCCCGGCCCACCGTGCCGTACTTGTAAGTCTAATATCTTCCCACTTTCTTCAGTGACATATTTTTTTGCAAAAGGATTTTTTCAATTCTGGAGCATCTCTTTTGATCTAAGATACAGCTTGGGGAAAACCTCTTGAATTTCTCTTGCGAGAAGGGCCGTGCTGTTCCTTTTGTCGATTAACGGATATAATTGCTTGATGTTTGACAGGTGGTTGGGTTTCAGCTATGGGTGATAGGTTGGGTGGTGTTTGATGCTGTAAATTTCTGTGTAGGGATAATACAGAGTTAAATTGCAATAATAAATATGGAGAATTTTGTTTATCATATATTTTCTAGGTTCGTGAACTTGTCATCTTAAAAGCTTTTTTTGACCATTGTTTGTTTCATTTTCTCATATTATCATAGATTTTGTGACTGTCTTGTTTTAATGTTTCATATTGGTGGTGAGATTTGACAACTTTCTATCTTTGGTTCACTTTTCTTTTTTTTTTGTGGGAGTAAATCTTAAGCTAGTGAGATTTCCTTCTTACTATTCGGATGGAAGAGAATCTACGCTTAACGAGTGGATTACTTGAAAAGTGCTGAGTTATACCAATCTTGGTAGTCATTAAATTTTGTTAGTTTCACTTCCTCATCCTCCTTTCATCAGATGTCATCACACCCATAAAGATGTAAGTGGTGTTTTGAAGTTCTCTTTTGTACAAGATCATTTTATTTTCTCAAATACCGATTTAGGTCTCTATTCATCTTCAATTTATGATCCTAGCTTGTTTATCAAAATGTTGGGTGACATGCATGTGGTTCTTCTCCTCTGTCGAGGATATGATCATCTTTAGCAATGATGATGAAGAGATTTCTAAGCCTTGGGGTAAACTTTCATTTGATTTAAGATGATAGATTTGGGTAAACTTTATCACCTTCTTGGATTGGATATAAGAAAAAAAAAATTAATAATGGAGTTTTTTCTACCTTGAATCAACTATGCTATAAAGATTGTTGAAAATCTCAACATAAACCTAAACAATGTTTTTTCCACACTTGATGCAAATTTTAAGCTTCGACTTGAATAAGTGAAGCTTCTGCACGTTCATCAACCATTTTGTGCTCTTGTTAGTATTCTTATCTACTTGACTATTACATGGGTGAATGTAGCTTTTGCCATTGTGATTGTTAGTTGGTTTATGCAAGCACCATAGAAACCACATATGGATACTAGTAAGAGAATGGTAAAGTACTTGAGTTCTGTTGATCATATGGCTTATTTAGATATCGAACTTCTTGGCATGATTTTATTGATGTTGACTTAGGTGGTAATTTGGATGATTGAAAGTCTACCCGTGATCATGCTTTCTTTTCTAGATCCACAACTATCTCATGCTCTTGCAAGAAGCAAGATTCAATCTTCCTTACTATAATTAATGCATAACATAAGTTTGCTTTAATGAAATGTATTTGACTGAGGTAATTGATTATGGATAATGATATCATAATTCACAAGCATACTCCAAGTATAGTAACTACCATAGCGCTTTCATGTTAGTAACAAACTTTAGTAGTCATGTGACGACAAGGTATATTGAGATTGAGCATTATTTTATTAATGATGCTTGATGTAATTATAAATGTGGTCGAGGTTAGAAGTAGGGTCATTGTCATTTCACCAAATCTCTTTCAAAGGGTCTATTTAGAGTTTTTGGGGTTTGGCTTGGTCTTTATCTTCCAAAATAGACTTTTAAGGTAATGTTAAAATATTTATGTATAAATATGTAGAAATATTTTTATCATAGTATTCTAGGTTCATGAATATTCTTACTAGACATTCACATAAGGATGTAACTTGGTGTATGCTTTTTGCTGATGATAGTATTATTGTTGATAAGATTAGAGAATTAGTTGATGAAAACTTGAATTATGGCGATAAACCTTATAGTCTAAAGATTTTCGTTTGAGTTGATCTAAAACCGAATACATGAAGTGTAATTTTAGTAGTAATAGATTTAGTGGTGAGATTGTGACATTGGATGATCAAGTTATTAAAAAGACTGCACGTTTTAGATATCTCAGGTCTATTGTTCAAATCGATGGTGAAATAGATGAGGATGCTATTAGTAGAATTCAAGTTGCATGGTTGATGTGGAGGAATGTGGGTTTGTTGTATGATAGAAAAGTACCCCTCTAACTTAAGGGGAAATTTTATAAGATGGTGGTGAGACTTGTAATATTTTATGGCGCAAAATGTTGGCCATTAAAAGAGAAGCATAAAATTAAGTTGTGTTGTTGAGATGAGGATGCTCGGGTAGATGAATAACTTTGCACTTAGAGATAGAATACAAAATGAGTATATACATGAAAATGGAGTTGCTCCAATGCAAGATAAGATTAGAGATAGTCACCTAAGATGGTTTGGTCATATAAAATATAGTCTTTTGATGACCATGTTTGGAGAGTAGATGTATTAAATATGACTTATGTTAAGAAAGGTTGAGGTAGACCTAAAAAGATTGGATTAGAAAGTATTAAAATAACAATTTTTTAATTCAAATGAGAATTTGACTGTTATTAGGATTCAATGAAGAAAAATGACTCATATAGCTGACTCCACATAGTGCATAAATGCTTGTTGTGTTGTTATCCTAGGTTCATGAACTAGGATTCTTTAAGTCATTTTAGGCTATTTTGTGTCATTTGATGCATTCCTACACTTTTTTTAGCATGCCCTCATTATCAAATGTTATTCACGGTGTATCTACTTTGTAATATTTCATATTGTTGGTGAAGCTTGAAGTTCAGTTGGTGAGACTTGAAGTTCTTTCAATTCTGTGGTGCACTCTTTACTCTTCTTTTATTTGTGGGAATAAATCCTGGGCTGGTGATATTTCTTTCTTATCTGTTTTGGTTGGATGACATTTTGAGCTTGATAGTTAATTGCTTCGATGGTGTTGTCAATCAACCAAATTTGATAGTTGCCAAGTTTGGTGAGTGAAAATGGATTTTGAGTCTTCCATTGAAGGCATATTCAGTACTGATTTGGCTTCCTTTTCGCTATATTATTTTTAGGTTTAGAGACTCATCAGCTATGCCGCTATTTCTGCATTTTACAATTCTAATTGATGTAAATATTGTTAAAATTATTAAGATGATGTCATATTTGAATAATGATGATAAGTGATGATATATATAGATATACATATCACAAAATATAATGCATACAGGAAATAATTCCAAAAAATATTACATCCCAATACTCTCTCTCAATTGTAATTTCTAATCAAATCAATTTAACTACTGTTGTCCTGATTTAAGGGTTAAGCTTTTCGACCATTAATTTTTTGTGGGTTGAACTTTGTTTCCTGGAAATTTGCTTTTTAAATTGGACCAAACCGGTCAACTGCCTAACTCGTTTTTTGTAACCATGAAAATAATTCCATATAGTTTTCAATATGATTTTGATGTAGGACCCATAAGCATTTAAGGTCCACCAACCTATGATAAGACGCACAATGAAAATACACAAATTCATAACTCATAGGTTATTAATGCCTAACAGACTAACAGTAGAAAATTGAGTCACCTTTAATGTGCTTAAGTTTCTAGGTTTTATTCATGGGTCCTAGGATAAGATGTACAATGAAAACATATTCACAATTATAATCTTTTGGTTACTAACTCATAGCATGCAAGAATAGGAAGCCTTTAATGTAAAACATCAAACACTTCTTTAATCTCAAGCAATAATGAAATTGTTGCCAAAATCTAAAATCTTGCAGGAAAATAATTAACAATTATAAAATTTCAGCAATGATCAAGTTTTACACTACAGCAAGGGATCTGACACATATTACTCTAGGCAAAATTTCACTCACATGTTAAGATACAATAACAAAATTGCAAGTTCTAATTTTATCACAATTGGATTCCAATAAATTTTAGGTTTTAATTGCAATTAAGGTTTGGATTCAATTGTAGGTTCAACTTGTACTGCGAGTTCAATTTCAAACAAAGTTTGGATTTAGATTCAAACTTGATTTTAAATTTAGGTTACAACTATTGTTTAGATGTAGATTTACTATTATGTATTAATGTACATATTCAAACTCCACGAGACTAAACTTATCCAATTGTTACCATAAGCCTTGTTCTAATTTATCTTTAAATGGATTTTGATTAGCTATAATTTCTTCAATAAGATCTAGTTTGACCATTTATATTTTTTGTATTAGTACTTGATTGATTTTAGAGGAGATAATAAATATCTCCTTTGGGTTTTTAATTATTAGTGTGATGTCATGAACAAATTGTTCGTAGTGTGCCTCAATATTCAAAGATTTAGTTAAGGCCTCATTTAGGGTTCTTGGTAAATTGCAGCTTAATCTATTGTCTAATACCTTTAAACATAATACATAATAATGAAAATAACAAGGCAGTCTCAATGCAAATGTTGCTTAATTACAAGATTTGTAATCCTAACTAATATCTAAATTCATTAGAATTGTTTTGTTTCTAATTTTTAAAGTGATACTCAATTGATCTTTGTATTCTCTAAATAGCACATATTGTTATTTTATACTTCAGGCTAACCCATGTAGGTTTTAGTTCACTTAAAATATCTTGCCAAAATGATCAAGCATGACATACTAGCTTAGATTGAGCACATTCAAGTCTTAGATTTAGCTTGAAAATTCCTCAAAATTATATCTCTTAATGAATATTGAAACATAATTTAGATCCTCATGATAGCTTGTGTTTGTTTAGAACCATGAACTTGCTCAATTTTGTTTAAGTTGCATCTTTTACTAATTTGTTTGATCAGTCTAATAAACATGTTCTAGTTTTAGTCAGCATGATGCTTCTTTGTTATAGAATGTTTATGGGTCCAAAGTTCACTAATGCAACATATGATGAGATGCATAATAAGAATACACAAAAATCACAATTCGTAGGTTACCAACTCTTAATTTTAGCAAAATTAGTCACCTTCAATATGAAAACAACAAACACACTTCTTTGTTTCCAATGATTATGGA